CTTTTTAAGATTTCAGCTCCCACGAACAGGGGTCAGATTTTCAGAAGGGCTCCTTCTGCATCATCTGGGGCAGTAATTGGGCAGTGGAGGTACCAAGCTGCTTTGATCCCACCTTTTCTGTAAGCTGGTGTGAATGTTGCACTTCAGAGCCTGGCCCAGAGGGCAGTGCTGGGGCAGGAGGGGTCTGCTGGTGCTTCATCCTTGGTGGAATCACTTCATCACCTGCCACAGAGCATCCCTTTAGCTCTTGCCAGTAAAGGCAGGAGCAAGGAATATCTCCAAAACATAGTTTTCGCCCTGGACACATATTCAAGTAGGGAGATGACACAGCAAACTGCTGGCCTCATCAATCCTTGATAATTTGAGCTAACATGTATTAACAGCTGGTATGGAAATTGGGGTATGCTAATCTAACCAGCTAAGTCTATTCTTGGCTGTTTGTGTGAGCAAGGAGCAGGACTCTCTTAATCTAATGTGTATTTCCTTTGCACCATCTATTGAAGATATTGCCCACATCAAAGGAAGACAACTTTCCCTTCCCCTGAAGTGTGTTCTGACCCTGATCTGGAGGGAGTTAAAAGAAAATTTCTTAGTATAAAGATAAATTAACTTTTTTCATGGAGTCCAAGCAGCCGTAGCACCATGCCAGCTTAAATGAACTGCCGGGGCATTCTTTAGGACCGAGTCTCACGTAGTGTAAGTGTCAGCTTTTTTCTTTTTTAAGAGCGTGACCATCTAAGTCTTTACCCAGAATACACACGCACTCTTTCACCAAAAAATATCAACTTCTCCTTAAACAGCACAGGAGAAAAATCCTGGTATACCTACAGGGAGAAGGATGAGGTGAGGCCAGCGAAAATGCAAACACTCAAGAGGAAAAGAGATGAGGAAACACTGTGAAGTTCAGTGAAGGCAGGATTTCTAAACCCCTGCTACATCCCAAGAGTTAAGATGTTTTCCTCAAAAGACGCTGGGATGTTTCTAGGAAGGAAAATGTTTTAAATACCTTCCCTCCCCCTTTTCCTTCCAATGAAGGGAACTTCTATAAACAGAACATACAGAAGACTTTGGCCACCTCTAAAAGGTTTAATGAGGATTAAACACCACAGTGAAAGAAGTCAGAAAGAGATCACACCTGGCACATCCAGCACGCGTGGGTGTGCATTTAACGGCTGCATATAAGACTATCACACGCAGAGGAAATGAGTAATCCGTTCTTCAACCCAAAGCACACGACAGAGACCACAATGGGAGCTGCATTTCCAAGAACTCGTATCCTCAGGAAATCTTTCCCCAACAAACGTATAAAGTTCCTTCGCAAAACTACACTCCTTAAGACAGACTAGAAGAGCTACACCCCGTCCTACTACAGCCTTCCCCTCTGCCGTGCAACGACCTGTGGGAGGAAGAAAGGAACCGAGAGGCCACCAAACAAGCAGCACAACAACGAAGGGAAACAAAACTGGTCATGCTGGCCGTGCTTACACTGCCCAATTAGCAACCAGGTCTGTGAACAACTGGGTCACCTTCAGTTCATGCCAGCGAGGCGTTCAGATCCCAGATACTGCGCTGCCTTTGCTTGTGCCCTCGGCTATGTTTCTCTAGAAGTACTCATTCATTATGTGCTATGCATAATGCAGGAAGGAGAATAACCCATGGATAATTGGATTGCAATCCATTAGCTGCCAGCCAGAGGGGAACTTCTTTCCATGGATTTCTTCTACTCATGCCCACATGTTTCAAAGTTTATTGTTTTAAACGTCACACTGTAGAACAAATGGCTTAGAAGGTTAAAGACCTATTGAAATTTTCTGAGTGTATGTTTCACAGCTGTTCCCTTCTTTGGGCTGCTGGCTAAAAGAACTGCTTGAATCCCAGCGGTAACCAGCAGATCACATCTGGATAATCATGTTCCAGTTGAACAGACAGCAGCCAAAATACGTTTGCAGCTATACACCATGAATTTTTATAGCTTACTTGACTGTACACATGTAGTCATTCCTGCCATCCTATTCTCTGCTCAGGATAAAATGAACAGACTCCATTCCCAAAGATAAATAGCCGATTGCTAAAACCAGACATTGGGCCAGATCCTCAGCTGCACCCAGCTGGGATTGCGAAGGGAGGAGGGAAATGGCGACCAAAGAGGAGCCAATAACAGCTCATCAATCCTGGAACTGGTTCCATGCCAATCCCAGCATCGCTGGGAGAAGGCTATGGGCTGCTCTAAGTTACGCCAGCTGGCTACGGCCCCGAGGGGGCCATCTGCCAACGGGGCTTGTTGAAGCACAGCATGTGCCGGCTAGAAGACTTCCCCACTCTTCAAGGATTGTTAGAGAGAGGGTGGCACGGAGTCATGGAGGTCAGAAAGTCCCAAACTCCCAACTTCAAAGCAAACTCCATCTGGAAACTGCAGCTGTTCTGCAAGGGAACTGGGCTGGAGCCTGGGATCAGTGTTTGTATCTGCAGCCGCAGCCTTGGTCCTATTCATACCAAAGGGCAAATGTGGAAAATATCACAATGCCACATTTTCTGCTCAGAATAACTCCATGGTCAAGCCTATTCTTGCTACAGTTCTGAATGTTCACTCTGACACAAGCATCCTCCCAGGAGAAAGATTAACACACCAAAAAGCTGGAGTAGTCAAGGGCTTGGTTAAGAAGCATTCTTTGATCTCTCACAATTTAAGAATGTTTAATTATTCAAACGCTATTTATAACAGATACAATGAGATGCTGGCTGGAGAATGCATTTACATACATTAGATCTTCAAGACAGCCAGAAAGGCAGGATTTTTACTTGCCACACATCATACACAGGCACACGATCTGCCAACAGAGAACGCTTTGCAGGCTCATATGCCTTTATATCTATGGGGATCTCTGCTCGTTAGTACGGGGTTTGCCTATAGTTATGCAGACAGTATTAAAAGAGAATAAACCAGATAAATCTCCTTAAAAAATACTGGTCTGTAAAGGTAGTCATCTCATTTTGGAATATTACTACTTCTATATCTCACACCTATACCACTTAGTTAATGTTTAAAAACCCTGCCTCCCATTCAAGGCTGCGGCTATCACGTTAAACTAAATAAATCAGCTTTCCAAACGGTTATAAACAGGCAAAACAGGGACCACTTACAAGCAGTGTACATGCAAACTAGTTAAGAGTAGGGGGGAGGGAATTAGGGTGACTGTCTACACTGCACTGGAAAATCTGGCCACCTTTCTAGATTGAGTTTTACAGACAACTGAATGCCACTTAAATTACAGCAAGATACTGCCTGGAATTTTACTAAAGCTGCGAGGACAAGCCATGGACCAGAGTGAGGTTTTGCCCCCTGCAGCACAGAGAATGAGGTATGCTGTTGCCAGAGGGCATTTAGAAACACACCATTCCGGTGCTGAAAACCAGTTGGTGGCCACAGTACATTTCTGTCCCTCTGCACTCAAAGAATCTCTGTCAGAAACACAGTCAGGCTATCCAGTGTGACAGTAAATGTTATCTCACTTCAGAGAACAGAAATTCAGCTTGACTGAGCTCAGAAATATCTCTAGTTCAGCCAACGAAACAAGCTTTTCCCCCCAATAAAATCTATGTTTAAACAAGAAGAAACAAGTTATTTTACTAAAATCAAACAGTGTAAAGGGTATTGTAAATATTTTAATGTTTCAAGATGCAGGGGAATAAGGGCGAGAAAAAGTTTGGTGACCATTGGGCGAGTCAGACTCTGCAAGCTGCTGTAGAGCAGATAACCACTACCCAGACAGTTCGCAACAAGCCGTACCACACTGACCAGTCCCACGCTGTGCAATAACCACTCTGTCACCAGCCTAGGGAGGGAGCAAGTCCAAATTCTGACTGGACCCACGTCAGGGCGAGTCCCAAGTAGCCCAGCTGCAAGCAGTCTCCCCAACAGCACGGCTCTGGCAGACATTTTCCTGTGTGCCACTGAGAACCTCCGTGATTTCCATCCACCAAAGCAGCTCTGGATGGCAGCAATTAAAACGCCAGCATCCTGCCTGCAGCACGGCTGCCAGCACAGAACATGCATTAGCAGCATCAGCGAGGTGTTTACAGGAGAAATGCTGGTAGAGATGTTCTGGCCGAGACCAAATTTGGTTGGTTATAGGCACAGGGAAAAGCCTCCCAAACTGGCGTCGGAAAAGTTTTACAATCGGCAGCAGTTTAAGGAGGAGGAGTAAAGAGATACATTTTTGGACAAGTTTTTCCTACTATTTACAAAAAAGATCTTCCAAATCAAGGGATCAGCTAAGAGTAGCACAGAGGAGAGTATTGTGTCACATGCCACTGCATCTTAAAGCCACCTTTCAGTTTAGGAGTAGTAAAGAGCCACAGCTGCTCTTCTGGATCTGTTTAGGAGTCTCCAAGCATTACGTGCCCTTTTCCTCCACCTTTTCTGTAAGACTGGACTCAGCCAGCAGCTCCCTCACCAACAGGTACTTATTTCTCCAGGAACCTGTGAGTTACCACAACTGTTCCTTTCCAAATAAGCCTGAAGTTTGGGTTGTACAGTTCAGATAGAAACCGGAAAACCAGTACTTAAAGTTTAGGAAAGAATTGGTGTGGTATGCATCAGAAAAAGTGTTTCAGTAGAGACAAAAGCCCAAATTGCTGTATTTCCTCACACCCCCCCTCCCCCCCCCCATATATAAAGCCTTCTCAAATGTAAACTGTGTACCTTTCTACAAGCCCTGTTTAACACTTGTGACCTCTGATTCTCCAAAACCATCTTCCAGCGATCACTCTGGCATTCCTCTTATTAAATTCCTCAATTCCCTTGATTGTGCTGTTAACAATTAACTGGGGCCAAAAGAAACCGTTTCTTATTTTTGGCTTTAAAATCATGAAACAGTTTGTGATGCAGATAGTTCTTCAGAAAAGGAGGACAAAAAGCATGCCTTTGGCCTTGACTTTTTCTTCCTTCTTTCTAAAGACCAAGCAGGTAAGAAAGGCAGTGAAATTAAATGGTTACTCACAGTATGTTTGTCTGGGGTGGGATATCGGGGATGGCTTCCAACATCAGATGCATGCATCTCACTGTAGTCCTGAAGCACAGGCAGCGACTAGGGCAGGAGCAGGAGAAACTAGGCAAGAGGAGAAAACACAAAAAGCCTCGAAGAGCTGAAGATTTGATCAGCATGGTGTTTGCTGGAGTCTATTTGCCTCAATTCTGAACTGCAGGGAGCTGACAAAAAAAAAGTTTCCCAGCCCCGAGGTCCAGGAGGAGGGGACTCATCAGCATGTGTTTGCAATTAAATTAAGGCAGTTTGACAGTCCAACCGCCCACCCTCTCTGCCATTATGTACATCATTGAAGATCAGACTGTTCCCACCCCTCTTTAATTGTGGTGCTGAAATACAAACTCTTAATTTTGATTTATTTTCGCCTTGTTTCTTCTCGTGAACAGCAAGTTAACTCCTCACCTTCTCCCCAGGCACTTGTCTGACAGTATTCAGAATGTACCTTCATGGACAGTGACCAAAACCCGACCCTGTGCCTCCAGGGCTGAGCCAGGATGCAGATGGCGCAGGGTCAAGGGTTTTTTATGTCAGAATTGTTGCCTTAGCACACTTTCTGCAAACCAAGGACAGCATCTTATCTAACAGCCTGTCAAATGTATCACAGGCCCTAAGACTTTTCGGATAGAGGCCGTCTCTTATTCCGTGCAGTTACAAATTCCAGCAAAAATACATTTTCAACCACTGATGGGAGCACGGAATGCTACAGAGAAGTGATTTTAAAAGGGAGACCACTAACAGAGATAAATAACCTGCAAATAAAGACAAAAGACCCTGATCGTGTGCATTCTGTAAAGTTTCTTATGCACAGTAAAAGCTGATTCATTTCAAAGACCTTCTAGCCAGTCTAATTTCTTTCTACAAGGATGTCATTTGGAAAAATGTCAGGATTCCGGAGAAATTGAAAGGCAATTGAGGGGTGAAGAGGGAAAGAAACAATGAAATCAACTGGGTTTGAACCGTCGGAAGTGCAGACCTCAGTTTGTTTCTCCCACTGGATGGTAAAATTGAGATGCAAAAGGGAGGAGTGGTTTCCAGTCGAATTAATCACTTTTCACAGTTCTAAAAAAGTTCAGAGTGAAAACAGCTTGTCTTTAGGTTTTAGGTTATTACTACACAAGATCCTAAATGTGTGGGTTTAGCGTGAGCGTGAGGCATTAACCCTCACTGGGATATAAAGGTACTTGAGGAATTCCAGACCTCACCTGGAAGCCCAAACAAAAGCCTCCCATCAACCTGCACCTCTGCTTTATACTGTAAACTACAACCGAATTAACGTGACACAACAGCACTGACCCTCCCCGGTTCTCTTCTCCCTTCAGATTCTTGAGCATTTGGGGAGAGACTGTTGGGTTTTGGGGGTTCACTTACAAATTCCATCTCATGGATAGTAAAAGCTGTATTTTTTCCCAGCTATAAAAGGGCGTTATAGTGCAGATTTTCTGCCTCTAGCCCTCGGGCAATCTGCTGTTTGTCTGCCCTGACATCACCGTGAGATCTAAGCAAGTTCACCCAACTCCTCCCCTGCTCCCCTCCCCGGACCCAACTCATGGTTTTGAGCAGAGTGTCCTCTAGCGGCCACCCGACCCTTTCTCATGGAAATGGGCTGTGAAAGGTAAAATTACCTGCTCCAGCCTTTACAGACCAACCGGCAGCTGAGAGCCGCTGGCTCCGGGTGAATGACAGCCTCGCTCCAGTCCGAGCAGCGCGTTAGAAGTTCGTCCTTCGTGTGCAGCAGAAAAGACAACGCAGGTTATGTCAAAGCCTTCAAGGCTCAAGTCTTACGTTCTTCCAGCCTGACTGCTCCCCGTATCATCTCTTTCCAAAACACACTGAGCTCTGTTCGGACAGGGTAACGCAGCTCCTTAGGAGCTGCTCTGTATTTTCTAGGAAAATAAACAAAAAGGCTCTCTTTCAAACTATGCTTCAGCGCTTCGGCAAGTCACCAACACCTTCCCCGGCTCATCTGGCCACTCCACAAATCCAAGGCTTTTTGCCTTCTGCCTCTGACGCCATCTCGGTGCATAAACTCTGAGCTCTAAACCAACCAGCTGCAAAACGCCGCAACCCTTCCAGGTTTATCTGTACTGCCCACAGGCGAGCTGGGCTGGGCACCAGTCCTGTTTCTATACGTACTGTCTTTGGAATCCGATTTCAGCGCCTCGCTGGGCGGCGGGGGGGCAGTTTCTGGAAGGATCGATGAGGCGTTGCCTGCTGCCTCGTGGGAATGGGATCTTTGGCCCAGTCAGCAGATTTAACAGCGGCCATACCGCAGCATTTGAGTGCAAAAAAGGCAACTTCTGCGAACTACACGTTTACTTAGAAGCGGATCTTCACGTGAACTTGAAACATGCTTCTACCTTGCTTATCTCTCCCCTTCGTGACAGATGAGCTGTTGGTGAGATGTTATGAAGCGCTGGTGATGACAGCTCCCTTACTCTTGCGTTAATTTATCTTATTTTCCACCAACGTGACAAATTGTTTAAAAAGGAGGGTGCAGCTCTGAACAAGAGACAAAAGTTAACTCCTAAGCCACAGGAATGAAAGTGAAATGCTCGTGTCCCCTGCTTAAGCATTTCCAGCCTCCGCTGGACAGACATTTTTACACTGGTGGAATACAAGGAAGTGTGGTTTTGGTTTTCACACATGGGGGTTTTTCCCCCCCTCACCCTTCATTTTGTTTTTAACTACCACTGCTGCCCCAGGAGAAAGATTTGATGGGAGTAGATGCCCTGAGGAGCTCCTCACTACTTCACAGGGAACTGTGATGTTTCGCATTTTACTACCAACACTATCTGACAAATTTAATTTACTCGATACCATTTGTATGACACGTCCATAGCTGTCCAAAGCAGAAGAGGATTTTTTTCCAGCATCACCTGAAGGAAAACACCAACACTGAACTAGCCCCATATGTTATAGCTGGTAAAAGAACATCTAGGATACACACGGATGACAGGAAGAAACACAGACTACAGGTAATAATCCTGTGGACTGAAGGTCCACAGACACGTTTAATGAGCAACAGCTGCATTTGCTACTATGACCAGTTTCCCATTACAGCTGAAGCCAAAATATTACTCTCAATATTAGTGAAAGGGAAGCCTTGAACACTAGCTCTTAAAAATCTGCATGAATTAAGCACTGAAACAGAGCACAGGAGACAGGAGGGGAGCTGCAGTTCAGAATGCATTAAACTCCTGATGTGTTTGGTTTAGGCAATTCCTTGAGGTACAGAGATGAACTAAATGATCTCTTGGTATCTGTTGTCTACAGGTCTAAGAGCCAGGGAAGGGAACTCACTTTCCAACCATTCTGATGTATTACATCTAGGTCAGTTCTCTGTGTGGGCTAATTCCAAAATACATCTTGCACAACTCCATTACATAAAGGTTTAGAAATCAGCTTGGCAGGTTTCTTTTGTGGGATTATATTCTGAGGAGTCCATCTAAAATATGCGCCTGCACCACATTACCAAGTGCTTTTCCTAGTGCTCCAGTGACTTAACCTTCAATTAGGGAAATAAGTACTTATCTACAAAGTATTCTAATCACAACAGGATGCAAAGCCATGTTAAGAAGGCTAAAAAGTACTGAATTTATTGATACAGAAACACTTATTAATAAAGTTTAAACTGCATTAACACTTTTGCATGCCTCAGGCCAATTTAACTCTAGTTTCTACAGACAGATTTTTCACCTTACACAGTAATGATTAAAGCAGCTCGAAGTTCATTTCGTTTTTTGCAAATTTACTGCAGTATGAAACCTAAAACGAGTCACACACAATTGAAGACTGCTCAGAACACAAAAGGAAACAAAGCAGGTAAAACTCCTAGACAGCTTACAGACCATACAAAAACAGTTATGCTACAACCACTCTATTAGAAATGCATACAAAACTACAGTGCAAGTGCTTGTGCACAGGGAAAAGGTATTTACAGCTCCCCTTCATTTACAGGCTATAAGCAATGCTATCTCACAATTATATTACACATAAAATTTCTACTATGTCTTTGTTTGGATCTCCAGTTTTTTGGACAAGGGGACAATTTGACAACCTAGAACATAAATTTCCTGTATATATATTTATTTATTCAGCCTTATCCAGGAAAAATAGCTGTATTTTATGCATCTTATAGAAAGCTACAAAAATCTAGCAAATGTAATAAAAAAAGGCAAATCTGGTGAAAAAACCTCATAAAGTATCTTTGACAACTGGGGGTGGGATGGCAATGAAATCAAACAGGAATAAATCAAAGATAATTCTCCCTCAACTGGTCAGCTTTAACAGAATCTCAGCAAGGCTTACTAATACAAACCTGAAGTTTGAAGTAATTTTTAAAGCAACTTCTTTAAAAGAAGTTTTTTAACTGATCAACTGAATGATGACCTGGCAGCCAAAAGCAGGAGGCACCCTCTGCTGCGTAGGGGTATGGAAACTGTGCCGCAATACACGAAGGCACATACCTGGTATGACAGCCATTAAGCAGAAATGCCTAACACACACAGAGGCAACAGCCTTTGGGGAAGCACAGAGAAATATTACATGTAGGTTCTATTAAGCCTCTATTTACCACCATATTCGGGATTTTCATTTGTAGAAAGAAATTCACTGCAGTCGCCAGAATTACAAGATGGGAACTTGCACATTTACAGGAAACCATCAGCTCCGTGGCCACAAAACTGCCCCATGTATTAAAAAAAAAAAAGAAAAATCCGAGGGACCAAGATAGCTTGGGGGGACCATTTAAACCAAAAGTGGAGACTTCAGAAACCAGAGTCAAAACTGCGTTATGTGCCAGTGGGCGGCACGGCACCCTACTATCAGCTGATATTCTCAAAAATAACAAAACGCCCATGAAGCAAGGAAGAAGGCTCCATCTCGGGCTCAGGCGTACACAAGTTATCCGTTTGTTTTCAAAGCCACACAGAACTTCAAAACACTATTTACCATTAAGTTGCGCAACTCAGTACCATTAACCGAAAACCCAGCGTATTTTTGGCAAGATGATCTTCATTCATTCCTCCTCAGAAAATGAGGAGACAGCACAAAAAGAAAAGATACCAAAGTGATACGAACTTAAGTGCTTCTGATGGGGCAATGCCTTAACACAGCTTCACTACCCACTGACAGGGGGGGTTTCACACCCACCCCCAGCTTTAGGAGTATTTCACATCCGTACAAGCTCAAGTTTCTTTCCAGCCTTTACCAGTTTAGGCAAATTTTTCAAACAGGCTGAACCAAGTAAACTTCTTCTGAACACGGTATCTCCTTCCATCACCGTTACAGGAAGACTTGTGAATAAAAATTAAAGAGTTCACATCCACAGAACTGCAAAGTCCTTCTGCATAAGCCTGTTAAAACACCTACTTAACTATTGCAGGAATAAAATAACCTACCACGTCAATCAACTTCACTCCACCTACCGGACATGGACCGTGTGTGTGCGAGTCGTATTCCAGCCACCCTGCAGGGTGCACACACACACACGAACACCTAAGAACCGCATTGGTTTGGCCTTCTAGATGTTTCCAGGTTCTACATGTCCTCTACAAAACTACATTGGGCTGATTCTCCAGGACGCAAACCACTGCGGCGAGTGCTCTGCACTTCACTCCGTTCAGCCCAGCAGACGCAAGCTCTCTCACACAGCAGCAAAATCGAGAGATTCTGCTTGCACTCAGAGTTCACAAACTCACTGCTCCACATCTCCTCTCTACCCTCCTCCCCATTCAGAATTACTCTGTAAACATTTCCAGGGACAACAGGCACAACCCTGACTACCCTAGCATCTTGTCAAAGCTGATCAGCTTTGCAATTCTTCACTTGCCCCATCACTCAAAAAAAAGAACAAAAAACCTTTTTGCATCTCTTCAGACTAAGTCACTACAACAGGTGTTTCCCATAAGAAAACCAATATTCTGTAAAACATTCCCACCTTCTACTGAAAAATCATAGAAAGCTTATAAGCAAAACTGAGACCAACCAAAGGGGAGCTGATGCTTTCCTTCTCATTCAAAACCTGGATGCCACAAGGGTAACGCCAAACATTCTTTCATTTCTGTGAAAGTTGTGCTTTTTGAGATTACTGGAAGAAACGAGATTTGCCAGGTCAGTTTTTACTAATAATCTTCATCCTCCATTAAACACACACCACGTGTAAACACATGGCAGGTTTAGTGGGAGAGAGCACAGACAGCAAAGGTCTTTGGGGAACTGCTTAAGAATATTTAAAAACTGCAATTCGGTAGAGCAGCCATGAGATTTTTAGAGTACCTCCGTGCAGTTAGTTTCAGGAAATGAAATCCTCCTTTCCATAAGCAGCTGAGCGTTTCACCAACTTGCTTCCTAAGGAATCCCTGCTGTAGGATAAAACTATAGCACACAACTGAGAAGAAAGAAGAAAACTCAAAAAAGCTACCATGTTTAAGTATACAGCAGCCACATTCCCCAGCTAGCCTACTGCCTCGGGTGGTCACATTAGCAGGCAAGCAAGTGGTATACATTTGTCAAGCCCTAAGTGGTACTTTATTTCCTGCCTACTTCCCACTTTCTAGAAGAAGGAAATTACTTTTCCCTGTAATAAAGCAGGTAATATTTCAAGGGATCAGGCAAAGGCAGGCTCAAGACCTTTTCTCTCAAAAAGTTTACAGGGGGATCTGGCTTGAGTTCAGAGGGTTTAGTTTCTTCCTCTTCTCGTCTCTCCTCCTCGACATCCTCACTGTTGTTGTTATCATCGGATGGGTTGGAGATACGACTAGCGAAGACCTCTTTGTCCAAGAAAACAATAGTTTCCATGCGACGGCGACGCACGCGTCTTCGTTTAAATCTTGGGGGGTTCTTCAGCCCGTTTCCGTTTTTGCTCATTGTTTCTTGATGTATAATTTTTTTAATGGTTCCTCGGATGGCTATGCGAGCCAGATCCTGGAGGCTGCGGACAGCCACTGGGGCTAAAACGAAATGAAAACCATGAACAGATATGGAGAAACTCCCCTCAAGAGTACTCATAGGAA